TTGCTCTGCTCATTATCTGCACGACTCGTTTCCCCCTAAAATCTCCATCTTAACATCTCAACAACTAAAGAATTGCCGATCCATCTTTCCGGTATTACCATCAGAGGAGAGAAGGTTGAAATAGTGGACTACTTCAGATACTGGCATTACACTGAAGATCTGAACTTCCCTCAGAATACTTTGGGTATTTATAAGCATGTAGGTCTTATCTAGCGAAACGATTGGTCATTTCAAAAATAAATACTCAGCGTTCATGACTCTCCTGTTCGAACTCGTTCATCAAATTGAACGAATCTTTTTTTCGAGTCATGACTCCCTCATTCATCGTCTGGTGTCATTTAAAGCCCTTTGAGGCTGCACTGAAACTCTCATTTGGACCTTGAACCATTTGGTTCCCATTGAAGTCCATTATATGGATAAAATCCTGGAATGTTTTCATCGAAAACCTTAATTTCTTTTCGACCGAAGAAAGAAAGACGTGGACATCTTGGATGACATGGGGATGAGTACATTATCAGCAAAAGTTATTTTAAAAGTGAACTACTCCTTTAAGTCATTTGTGATTCGTAAAGTAGTTGATAGTGTTCTTAGGACGTAAACCGCTTAGTGGAACGTTGCCATCTAGCAATTACGGTAATTACGACATGACATGTACACTCGCTGTTTTGGTTCAGGATGAACTGTAAAAGGTGGCTTTAATATTTAGACCACTTCTATTATTGATTGCTATCATGTGCAATCATGAGTATTTTGCAGTATAACAAAAAGTGTTTATGAAAAACATCACTTAGGGATTCTCAACTTTTGGTCTATTTTGGTAACCCTTGTATTTTTCCTCTTTGTCACTGCATGCAGCGACAGCATTGAAAATAGATGCAGAGCGTTGTCTGACGCAGCACAAACTAGTGTGTGTGTGGGTGTCCTAAATATCCAACACTGTGTAAACATATGTCAGTGCGGATCTGCTGGCTGGGACAGCGAGAATTTCAGCTTTATCAGAGCGCTTTTCCATGGGATGAGTCATCGTATTAATGGCATGATTTCAGGCATTGCTGTTGATGTCTCTTTTCAACCCGTTTTTTTTGTTGTTGTTTTTTTGAAATCTAAAGAAAAAAATGGACCTATTAGCTTTGCATCACTGCATTAACGGGGTCCTATGCCCTTTTATGAAGTCTTGATTTTGTTTTTGTGGAGTTTTCATGCTTGATTGTTCAAAAATATGTTTTGACATGTTTTACATAATTAGAGATCCTCTCTCCCCAGTCTGGCTACAACACGCCAATTTCGACGAAGCCCCTCCTTCTGAAATATGAAATGTGTTGTGATTGGCACCGTGTGATCGGGAATTATAACTGCGAGTTAGTGTAAATATGAATGTGGATGGCGTCAATTTCAAACCAATTCGACCCTGATTCAGACCCTGACAATGTTAACGAACAAGAGGATTATGCAGAACATACTTTGCAAGCACGGATTTCACAGGACGTTTCAGAGTGGATTCTATTCATTATAGATACGATGTTATCCACCATTTAATCTTGATGTTTGTAGGGAAACTAAGGCAATACAAACAATAATCAATCACAAAATCATGGCTAATGATCAAAAGGAGCGGTGAAACCTCTCAAAAGTGAAAGCTTAATCTACAAGCTGTTCTCCATCAAATGTGCAGCACACAGATAAACATTTGGGTTTTAATGTTCAGGAACAGTGTTTATAATAAATTTTAACTACTCTAAGTTCGTCAGCCTTAGGAAGGCTGTGAGTTTCATTTTGTTGCGGATTATTTAAATGAGTAAAATTACGACTTCATAAGATCAGGAAAAACCACGCTGTAGTCCAAACGATTGATTTGTAGTTCCAAAAGTTGTAGTTCTTGAAAAGGGGATTCTGTTAAAAAGATCTCCCTTTCGTGAATTTTAAGCTTTTGTAATCTTGCAAATCTTGTTTATGCTCAAACAGCAACATTACACACTAACTAAAAGTGGAAAAGCATAATAGGAACCCTTTTATGCTCAGCTCAGTTTGCCATGTTCAACCTACACAATGTGCATTGAGTTCATACATTTATAAACGGAAGTACAGATTAATATTTAATGTTTTAACAAAGCATCATGTTGACTCTTGTTGTTCTGGGTGGTAAATGGCTCTCAGACATCAGAGCATTGACTGGCATGATGTGTAAATATATAAATAGTACAGACTTCATGTGTAATGCATTAGCAATGCAGCATGCATATGCTATGTACATGCATTTAGTGCTGATTTAAAGTCAACGTGAAATCAAAATGGATCCTATGTTTGTGTGGCCTTATGATTCACCAGTGTATTTAAAAAGAATTAAAAGTTTTTGTATCATGGCAAGTCCGTGCAAATTCCCAGTTCTTGATGTTCATGAAATAAGAATCCCTATTGATTTAGTATTTAATATCAGTCTGGCTTACTTTTGGTATTTTGCAGTAGCAAAAAAAAAAAAAAAAAACCCCAAAAAAAAAAAAAAATGTTTATGCATTTGGGCCAATCATTTATATAAAAACGCAAACTTTTGAAAATGGCCTTCAAAATGCAATCCTATACCCTAAAATATATAATATTACCAAGCAGATGCTTACTTTTTTTATATTTGATGAAATTGATAGTTATAAATTATAATAATTGAATATATTAATGAAAATCTGTTCATCTGTGCAGATATAAGTACATTGTAAAAAAAAAATTAAATGAAGTAACCTGGTTGCCTTAAAGTTTTAAGTTCATTGAAATGGCAAAAAATGAGTTAATACAATGAAGGAGATTGATTTAATCATCAGAAACTCAAAATATTATGTTATTTGAACTACATAAATTATTTAAGTTGATTTGACAAGACAAATTGTTGTGATTACAATATTACAATAGTGCGCACAGACATTTAACCACTGTTCTCAGAAAAGTGTATTTATTTTTCTGTTTCTCAATATGGTGTTAGTTAAAGCTAATGTATGTACTGTCCGAGGTCTAAATGAACCACATGTTCATTTATTTAGTCATTTCAAGCCTTTAACTGATTCTAAATTGAATTGTGGGTCTTGAGGGATTTGGGAGAATAGTCTGATTATTGATGCAGTTGAAAATGCTTGACTCGAGTATTTGCTTAGCTGCATCTGTGCCATCACAGTAATATGCCAAAATTGCATCTATGCTGCTTTTTTAACTAACATGTTTAATTGTTTAGTGGCTGTTAGAAATTCTGGTCTAAAAGCATGATTCATGTGTGGCATTTGTTCTTGTTATTTATCTAAGAATATCACCCTTGAATCATTTCTAGAAAGTTCAAATCTTGTGTCGCCACATGCCCTGTGGATCTTCTCACCCAAACCCACAAAGAATCTGCTCTTAAATGACTCTTCCGTAAGATCTAATGGACGTGCATTTAAATGATCCAAGTGTCTGATTGCAACATAAATTTGCAATGCATTAGCACGGGCGCATTCACTTAAAAGTCACTTACTTTTAAATTCTACAAACCAAGAGCGTTGAGCTGTCTGGATCATGTAACACACACCGCCCCACGTTTGTCACTAAGCATTTGTCTGATATGCCCTGCGAGCTTTTCCAGCCCTGGAAGAGAGTGTTTCCCCGAAATCCCCCCGGCCCTTAAACTGTATTCCAGACACCAGGTCTGAAAATGTTTTGTCAAGTGTGAACAGCAAGTGATGGCTTGCAGCTACCATGCTTTTCCATGCCAGACTTTTCATTTTCATCTGCTTGAATGCATCTCCCATCAAAGCTGCACTCATTTTATAGATTAGGATAAGACTCTTGCCACATACAGGGTGCTGTTTCTTTTTTTTTCTCATTGTGTTGGATGGACAAATCCAATGTATTGCATGGAGTTATGCACTCTAAAAAAAAATGCTGGGTTGTTTCAACCCCAATTTATGTCAAATATGGACATACCTAAAAAAATGCAATTTATTAATTGAACCCAACAGCTGGGTTTGTCCATACTTAAAATAATCCTGCATTTTTGGTTGATTCTGCTTTGGCTTCTTTTGTAAATTAAACGTGTGAAAAGTTGCTTTTGTTATTTTGTCTTTATGTTCTATTTCTATGTTATTCAGTTAACTACACTGATAAAAATGATTTTGTGGTGAAGTAAATACTACAGAAAAAAAAACAATGTAATTTACATGAAAAAAGTTAGTTCTGGCAAGAGTCTAAAAAATAAGTAAATTCGATATTAGTAAATGAAAGCCTAAATATCAACATTATAAAATGAAGTCAAATTACTCAACTTCCCATCATGCACCGGGCCATGAATAATTAATGAGGTTTATTTTTCACTGTTTTCCAGCTGTATTTACACTATTTTATTATTGCTTTTGTTGTTAGGATTAGTAATTTGCCATTTTGTGACATTTGGAGTTTATTTTCTTCTTAAAATGACACATTCAAACACAAAAACGAATCAAATGTTACCATCATCGTGTATTGTCTACCAAATATTGAGGTCTGCGTTCACACATGCAATCTTTAAAATGAAGATGTGATGGCACAGACTATATGTATTGATTACTTAAACATTTCTGAGTAAATTATATACTTATAAAGTGTGGTCGAATTGAATGTTTTATTGTTTGAGTGAAATGTTGTACAAAGAAAAAAGAATTAAATAGTAATTAGCTAAATAAAAATGACTTAATTTCTTATGTTACATTCCTAATTTTATTATCTTTAATAGTCAAAATAAACATTGACATAGTTTAATACTTTTGATGTGTTTTTTTTTTATGTATGGCTCATCCAATCAAATTTAAAAACCTCATCCATTCATTGTGTTATATCTAATAGTGTAGCCTTTTAAAAATGGCACTGCAGTACAGTATATGCCAGACAGACTTTTTCAATAGAGTTTCTTCTTTTTTTCGCCACTCCACATGGCATATAACCAGGCTCCATTTTATTGTATGTCACATAACAAATGAGACCCCTGCATTTTATTTTTTATTTTTTTGCAGATTGCACCTCTAATGGTGGTTTTAAATGTTTCCACTTCTCAGAGAGAGCTCTTACTCCCTGCCATGGGAGTGACACCATATAAAGTGCAGGAGCAACACTGAGAGCAAAGTTATGTATAAATATATGTATGGGAGCATATAGGCGAGAGATATAAACCTGTATTATGGTTGTCAAATGAATATGATCCCTGCATTGCGCACTGCATGCATGCAGACTACACAGGAGAGCTCCATTAATCATGCGATGGGAGGGAATGAGAACAGATGTTAGAAAACGACCAGTGATGGCGAATGCTTCTAATCGTTATTGTTCGGGTGAATTGGAAAAGCAAAGGGTTGTTCTGCTTGCTTTACACTGTAAAAAATTTCTTGTCAAATTAACAGTAACTTACTGGCAACAATTATCCAGTACTTGCTGTATTTCATTTAACAGTAAAATTACCGTAACACTAACAACAGTACTGTTAAGCATACTGTAAATTAAATAACATTATTTTACTGTAATTTCTTACCATATTAAAGTACAGAATTACACTGTTAATTTTTGATAATACTGTGTAGTATGAAATGTTATTGTATTTATTTTATAGTGCTACTGTGTAACCTGTAGAAAATCCGTAGAAATATTATTTTAACTGTTAATGGGAAATAGAAAAAAGAACAATTGAAGCTTTAACTGCACAAGGTTTATTGTGTATTTTCAAACACATTAGCGCATTTATAATATACATTTAAATACATTAATACAATTAAATACATTAATAATAAAAATGTAATATAATACAATAAAAATCATGCATGACAATCAAGAACAATTATGCATAAATACATGCAAAAAAAATATCAGGTAAAATAGAAAAGATTAAAGGGGTGCTATCTGATCAATCTATTAGAAAGATAGTTCATAACAACTCATCCACCCACTCCCTGCTGGGGTAAAACAGCTTAGTCTAAGATTGTCTATTGGTTTGAGATAGACTGTCTAACTGGTCAGTTGCTGATTTTAAAGGGTTTTTGGCTGCTTTCTATCTAAGGGACCAGATTTGCAGGGCTGCGAGACACATATAAACTTATAAACTATAAAAGCTTTGACAAGTAAACCACCAATCCAGATGAGTATTACAAAATGACAAGTTATCCAGTGTCCTTTAAAAAAAAAAAAACTAAACACAAAACAACCTCATCATGCACATGTGCCATGAAAAACTTGCATTATGGTATTAATAATCATTTATATGTAGACTTATGTTCTAACTTTTGCAATAGGAAGTTTTCTATCCAAGCTTTTATGCAATTAAACCTTAAACTGTACAACAACGTTTATTTTCACACAACAATTCTTAACAACTTGCAGATAGACAAAATTCACAGATGGATAATAATCTGTTTAAAATGTTCTCAGTGGGTCAGTGCTGGACCAAGGTATAGTAGTAGTAGTTAGATAAATAGAATAATTAAATTAGATTTACAATTCATCGGTCGTCAAGATGGATAGGGGTCTTCTTAACATGCACAGCTCACACCTGTGGAAAAGGAGAACAGACAAGACAGTTAAAATACAGTACGTTTTTGTTGTTGTTGTTTTGGCTAAACAGCAAAAACAGACAAAATTATGTCTAAAGTGTAATTCACTTAATACTAAAATCTTGTTTGTTGGACTGTTGTTTAAAATCAATTGTTAAACCCAGCTAAGAATGTTACGTTCCCAGGACGTTCTCAGAACGTCCCCACTGGTGTCAAGGACGTCGCCTAGTAACGTTCCGGGAACGTTCGGAGACGGTCATGATGTGGAGTTCTTTAAAGGTTCGGAGGACGTTATTTTGCGACCTTCACGGAACATTCGGGACGTTCTCAGAACGTTTAGGGGACCATGTTTTATTTGGAAATGTGATGTTCCCAGAACGTTCTCAGAACGTCCCCACTGGTGTCAAACACGTTGCCCAGTAACGTTTCGGGAACGTTCGGAGACGGTCATGATGTGGAGTTCTTTAAAGGTTCGGAGGACGTTATTTTGCGACCTTCACGGAACATTCGGGACGTTCTCAGAACGTCCCCACTGGTGTCAAACACGTTGCCTAGTAACGTTTCGGGAACGTTCGGAGACGGTCATGATGTGGAGTTCTTTAAAGGGTCAGAGGACGTTATTTTGCGACCTTCACAGAACATTCGGGACGTTCTCAGAACGTTTAGGGGACCAATGTTTTATTTGGATATGTGACGTTCCCAGAACGTTCTAAGCCCGTCTCCAGTGTTGTCAAAGACCTGTAGGTAAACAAACTAGAATGCAGAAACTTTTTCAAATTTGTTCTTGAAGAACCTTAATCAGGAATAAGCATGCATTTAACGTTTTAACACATTCAAAGATACAATACAAAGCAGAGATTCGTTATTTATTTATTTATTTTGTGTAATCAAAAATCAGATTATGAATTAATAATAATGTGATCATGCATAGGCGTAATAAATCAACAGTAAATAATATTAGGACAAGACAAAGATTTATGTTAATTTAATGTTATGTAAATTATGAACAACAAGTAAAAAGAAAAAACTGAAATATATTTAATTAAATAACTATTAAATATATACAGTGTGTGTGTGTGTGTGAGAGAGAGAGAGAGTGTGTGTGTGTGTGTGTGTGTGTGTCCTATTCTACAAATTAGCAAACTCATAGGGTCATATTTTTGTTGATAAACATTATCAATTTGGCCAATTATGCACATTTCTTGGTGTATAATGGTGCCAAAAAATTGTTTTATACTTATATAAAAAACTTTCTCTCTGTGACTTTAAATGTACTGATGTCTGACTACTTTACATCTACCACTGTCGAAGGTGCTCAGTTTTGCTATTATAAAACTTATACAGAACATGATAGTAATCAGCCATCCATCCAAAAGCAGAGGTCGGTGTGGTGTACAGGTACATCTGTCCAAGCCAACATCTCATGCCTTGATCCCTTCCGCTGTGGATTCCAGAAAACCTGCAATAAAAAAAAATAGTACAGTTCAAAATCTATCATGCATACATCTCATCTGGTATCACAAATTATCATTCCACGTTCAATAAAAAATTAGAGTTAGGTTAAATGCTAAATATTACGGCAGGACAATATTGAAAACCTTAAATAAAATATTTTGTTTATCTATTTTGTTTATCTGCTGCTATATATATTGCGATATAAAAACAAATTTCAAGAGATTATTTATTTAGAGTGAATCTGCATTGAAAATTATAAACAAATTACAAGCATAGATAAATTCAAAAGAAGAAAAATACAATTGAAATAAGCAGTGCATGATGTTTTTTTTTAGGAAAATCTAACTTATCAGGTACGGAAATTGAATTATCGAATGTAAAATAAGTCTTTACTGAGGTACAGCCTCTCCCTAGTCTTACAAAATGACAAACAACCAGCCTGGAAAACACATGTTGTATGAAGACTGTTTAAAACACCCCTCCTAATCCTCACAGAATTTGCAAGACAATGTCTAATAGTGTGTGTAGTTTCTTCAGTACCGTCAGCAGAACCGAAAACATCTGAGCTTATCGATACTGCGGTCTTCCTTAATTTGACCCCCGTTTAATGTTTAATACCGGGTTTCGGAACCTATTCCTATGCATGGGTGAGTTCATATGGATGAAGGCCTGTTGTGTTCGGTCTCTTGGTTTGTGATAGTGGCAGCTATTGTGAAACTCACCTTCGTCATGTACGATGTCATGTTCAGTGTGGATGGCATCAAGATCTTGTCCTGAAGAATCACAGGGTCAAATGATTGACATCTCATCTGGTAACAAGAGCATAGCCATAACTTTAAAAACTCTAATGATATCTTTACCCCCTGATAATGTATTGCAGATATACATTCAAACATTTTAAAGGCTAAGAGTATGAGCCATGAGTAAACTGGACAGATATCTGTGAAAAATAACTTGCGTGCCTAAAGTTGTCAACTTCCTGAATTCAGCTTTTGAAAGTAAAAAGAATTTCAGTATTTATCAGAAAAAAAAAACTACATAAAAAATACCTTTGAGTTGGACAGTATGATGTCTGTCTCATTGGCTAACATAATTAAAAACACACCAAGAGAAAAAAATAAAAATAAATAAATATATATATATATATATATATATATATACCAATGACCATTATCCTGTTATAATAATAGATAAATGAATTATTATAACTATGACCATTTTTATAACATTATATTTGCCGCCTATTATTTAGCTTACTGGCTTCTCAAGGACAATCTCCCTGAAAAAAACTGGGGTTAATGATTTTAAAGTGTGTGACTTCATTCAAAAGTATAAATCCTACAGAGTGCAGACCCACAACAATTGAACAGTAACTTATGTTTGAAGTTTTGCTTACTAGTCGAGTTCATAGCCATGGAGATTGTCTTGGACAGGGGGTGCAGCAGGCCAACCAGCATGATGATCTTCTAGAAAATAACATGCAATGTGTCACAGAGCCAACAATGTTAGCACATAGAATTTACAAAAGAACAAAGGGTTTATTACAAGGAAGCAAGCTAGCAGAGATAAAATGCAGAAAAGATAAAGAATATATATAAAAAATCTTAAGGTAATATATTGTGCAAAAAAACGCATATGAAATTATTATCATGATTAAACAATAATTCCCCCTTTGTTGTGAAGGTTTTTTTCTGTTCCTCCTGAAATCACTTATTATCAATCTTAAGTGACGTCATTAACAGTACGTTACATTGAATTATTTCAGGTTAAATAAAAGCTTACTTCCCACCACCACTGACAAATTACCAGCAAAATAAAACTTTTAAAAACTGTTATCAACACACAAATGTGGTTAAAAACCCAAACTTATGTAAAACAAGAGCTCAATTGTAACGTAAACTGTTAGCTGCTAAAGTTAGCTCTTCTGAAAACGGAGATGCTAACGGACTTTTTCGAAGACACAAAACCATTTCTATAAAGTAAATATTCAACAGAAGTGTATCAATTACACGTAAGACATATATCAGGAAAGTTTGTATGTATTATTTGAGTGATTTTGGTAACTAAACTTACCTGAAAGCAGAGAAAACAACAGTGAGAGACGCTAGTTTTGCTGTTTGACAGT